TCTCTCTCTCTCTCTCTCTCTCTCCCCTCTCTCCAGCTATCTATGTGTCTTATCTATTTATCTGTCTTTCTGTGTATCTCTCTATGCACCTGTATGTCTATCTAACTCATGTCTAGCTATCAATCCAATGGTGTTGGTTGCTGACAAGTCAATTCTGACTCATGGAGACTGTAGGTTCAGATTAGAACTGCTCCCCAGTATTTGCAGGGCTGTGACCTTTCAGAACCAACTCGCTTTTCCTCCAAGGCCCCTCTACACGGGTTCTAATCACCAATCTTTCCAGCACTGAATGGTCTGTGCCACCCAGGAACTCCTATAGGTGAGTGCACACGTGTGTAGGTGTCTGTATTACGTATATAAAATACCCAAACTCATTGTTGTGGAGTGGAAACAGACTCAGAGCTGACACTCCAGTGATTTGCAGAGGCTTTAATCACGTGGGAAGAGATTGCCAACCCTACAGACTACCCCACCAGATCGTCCTGTAAAAATACAATGTGTGTGTGTGTGTGTATGCACTTATGTGTGTGCATTCACGTGTTTGCATTCACATGTGCACATTCACATACACACATTCCTGTGTACACATTCATGGGTGCACACACAGGACTGTGTGTGCCATGGCTGTCGAGTCAATTCCACTCACAAAGACCTGAGCAGAACCGCCCCACAGGGTTTCCCGGCTGACCCCTTCCCTCAGGAACAGTGCACCAGGACTTTTCTCCAGAGGCCCAGCTGGCGAATTCCAACTACTGACTTTCATTTAGCAGCCCAGAGCTTCACCCTTGCGACACCAAGGAGCCTTTTGTAAAGTTGTAAGACTAACCCTTCGCCAGTGGGTCGGTTCTGACTCACAGGCCCTGCAGGACCGGGTAGAACAGCCCCTCGGAGTTCTTGCTGCTGTAATGTTCTGAAGCAGACTGCCTCGTCTCCCTCGCACGTGTGGCTGGTGAGTCCAGGCTGTGGACTTAGCTTAGCCCGGTCACCAGCAGTCAGCCACGACGTCTCTTCTGAGTAGCTCTACATGAGGGGTAGCCAACAAGAGGGGGACCCTCAGCACGAGGGATTGACACCAACAGGGGTGGACCTAGCAGCCTGGTGAGGACAGGGCCTCGCTCTGCTCTCCGTGGGTGGCTGAGTGGGAACAGACTCACAGCAGCCCCCCAGCCACCGGCAGGCGAGAGGCTGGACCGCTCGCCTCCCACACAGCAACCATCTCTGCACGACAGCTTTCCTGCTTTCCCTGTGTGCATCTTCTGAGAGTTCTACAGACCATAGCACATTCAACCACAAAGGAGATATTCTTTGATGTCTCAAAACGAAAATAAAAAGAAGGTGTTAGCTAGAATCTTGTAGACCATGCAACCCAACTACACAACACAGGTGACTCAATGGCGCATAACAACAATAACATACTATGACGTGTTTGGAAGCAGGAGTGACATCACTTCCTAAACCACATGCCTCTGGAAACTCTATGAACTCTGATAAATGTCGATAGTTATAGAAACGCTTCAGGCCTTTTGTTCATGGGGTTGCTATGAGCCATGCTTGACTGAAAGGCAATCAACAACAACAACATACAACCCAACATCATGGAAATGATTGTGTCTTGTGGGGAGCATTTTACAAGTGGAAAAGAGATACTTTAACATTCTCACAGCATTGAGAACATACTTAATGTGTCTGTTCTCCCCACTGGATGAGCAGGCAGGAGCCCTGGGCGCCCTGAGACGCCCCGTTTCGAGCCCTCAGGTCCGCCTCCTAGAACACCACCAGCCTGCCTCAAAGGTATTGCAAGTTTCACTTCTAGAACTCCATGGTGTAAGGGGACACCTCACAAAAGCAGGTCACAAGACTCCCCCCACCTACCCCAGTGCAGAGAAAAGTCAGGGGGACCTGGTGGCGCACTGGGAAGGAGTTCAAGTCCACCAGTTGCTTCATGGAGAAGGATGGGCAATTTGCTCTCGTTTGATTTACAGCCTCTGAAAACCTGCTGGAGGGTCAGCTCCAAGTCGGTTCCAACTCGATGGCACACAACAACAATAACACAACAGTGCACATAAAAGTTGTGTCTACACTACACTGTAGTCTATTAAGTCAATAACGTTAGGGAAAAGTCTGGAATGTGGTGAAAGTGATCAAAATGGGACCCAGAGACGTAAAATGAGCACACGATGTTGGAAGAACCACACTGAGAAAGGGGCCAGGGGGCAGGGCTGTCACTCACCTCAACCTGTGGGGAATGAGTGCTGTACACAGGGAACCCGGGTGGCCTAGTCCATAGGGAGCCGCACGGATAACCCACAGGCCAGGCCTCTCTGGTGGTTCAAATCCACCAGTGGCTCTACAGGGAAGAGACGGGACAGCTCCTCTTGTGCAACCTACATCCTCTAAGACCCAGCTTGGAGGTCGGATGTGAGGCAGGTCCAACGTGGTGACAATGAGTCCTAGCTTGATAAGGCAAAGCCCACCTCATGGAAGCGTGGTGCAGGGTCCAGCGGCTGAGCACTCACACTGCCCATGCCCTCAGCCCTCCAGGCCCCCCTCACGGAGGACGTTCTACAAACCCCTTTTCCAGATGAGGAGACTGAGGCCAGCAGCTGAGGCTGCACAGCAGACAAGGCCGCAGCTCATGAGTGACCCTCTTCCACCGCCCACCTCCACTGAGGCCACAGCAAACCCTCAGGACACAGCAGAACTGCCCCCTGGGTTTCCAAGGCTGGGAATCTCTAGTTGAGGCACACACTACCTCAGCCTTCTCCTAAGGGGTGGCAGCAACAGCGGTGGATTCGAACTGCCAGCCTTTTAATCAGCAGTCCAGGGCTTGGTCACCCTCTTAGCATGCAAGCTAATGTTTAGCTAATGAAGCAAATACACTATTAAGTGAAATACACTAGTATTTTCCATTGGCTTGGAGCTGACATCAGCTCACAGCGCACCCCTGGGCCCCGTGAGGCAACATAGAACTATATACACCCTGGGGCTTTGCACCGGCTGAATTTTTCCTAAGTGGGTTGCCAGGTATTTCTTCTGAGTTGCTTCTGGGTGCCCTTGGTCCCTCCTCTTCTCAATTAGCACCTGCTGTTGTTGTTATATACTATTGAGCCGATTATGACCCATGTTGTTGTTGTTGTTATGTGCCGTCGAGTCGCATGCGACTCATAGCGACCCTATATACAACAGCCCTAAACTCCGCTCTGTCCTGTGCCAATCGCACTGTCTCTGACACTCCCATCCTGATTATCCCAGTCACTGAATCAATCCACCTCATAGAGGGCCTTCCTCTCCTGCGCCGTCCCTCCACCCTCCCAAGCATGATGTCCCTCTCCAAGGACCGGTCTCTCCTCACAACATGACCAAATGTACAACAGTTATGACCCATAGCAACTCTAAGAACAGCAGGTCTGGACCCCGCCCTGTCCCGAGCCATCCTCATCCTCTCTGACACACTTGAGTCCATCAGTGAGGTCACTCACTGCGTCAGTCCAGCTCATCAAGGACAGCAGAGTCCCTTAAATTCTGTGCCACCAGGGACTCCAGAAGCAGAGTTCTCTGTTCTCACTTAACCCCGGGCTTCTTGTCTCTGCCAAGAGCTTGTCTGTGTTTAATGACAGCTCTGTACAGGCAAGTTACAACCGAACATTGTGACCTCTTAGTCATTTTTCCTTGTACCATGGGAAAGTCTGCTGTTAGGGACCTCTCCAAAGTACTGAAGAGCAATGGTGTCTCTGGAGACTAAGGTCCATCTGATACAGGCCATGGTCTTCGCAATCACTTGTTATGCATCAGAGAGTTGGACAATGACCAAGGAGGACAGAAGGAGAATTGATGCCTTTGAGCTGTGGTGCTGGAGAAGAGTATTGAGAATACCATGGACTGCTAGGAAAACAAACAGATTTGTCCTGGAAAGGGTTAAAGCGGGTGGCTCCTTGGAGGCAAGGATTCTGAGGCTCCATCTAACATACTTTGGGCATGTTGTCAGGAGAGACAGGTCCTTAGAGAGGGACATCATGCTTGGGAGGATAGAGGGACAGCGCAGGAGAGGAAGGCCCTCTATGAGGTGGATTGATTCAGTGACTGAGATAATTGGGATGGGAGTGTCAGAGACAGTGCGATTGGCACAGGACAGAGCGGAGTTTAGGGCTGTTGTACAAAGGGTCGCTATGAGTTGCAAGCGACTCGATGGCACATAACAACAACAACAACAACAACAACAACAACAACACCTTTTTAAAAAGCAAACCCTTCGTGTTGTCGGTAGAGTTGTCATTGTTGGGTGTTGTGGGGCCCATTGTCTGCTCAGAGTGACCTCATGGTGGCACTGTAATTAACACCTCTTCTGCTAATAGAAAATGTGGTGGTTCAAATCCATCCAGCAGCTTCAACAACTGCAACAACAAATCCCTGACCATGTGCCCTATGTCTCGGGGACAGAGCAGCCAGAGTGCTCCTTGAAGGCAAAGATGGCGAAGCCTTGTCTCACATACTTTGGACATGGTGTTAGGAGACCTTTCCTTGGAAAGGTAGATGGTCAGCAAAAGAGAGGAAGACCCTCAACTGGACGGTCTGACACAGTGACTGCAGCAGTGGGCTCAGGTGTGTCAGATGATGATGAGGACGGCCCAGGACAGGGCAGGGGTCAGATCTGATGTTCACAGGATGGCTGGGTCATACACCTGACAACAATCTGTTCTCTAAACAGGAAGCCCTGGCAAACGCTGCAGGGCAGCCCTGCTCTGACACCTGGGGTCTCCAGGCTTGTCTTCAGGAGGGATGGTTGTAGTGTGCCGTTCAGAAAGGACCCGCTCACAGCTGGCCCTCCTGTGGGGTTTCAGAAGCTGTGAATCACATGAGAAGAGATGGGCCATCTTTCTCCCAAGGAGCAGCTGGTGGATTTGAACAGTCTGCCTTTGGGCTGGCAGCCCCGCTCCTTACCACTAGTCTACCAGCGCTCCCTGCAAGAGGATGTTGGGAGAGAACAAGGTACAGGTCTGTTTGCTCTCGGCACTGCATCTTTATGAAGGGGGTGAGGACACCCACGGCCACATGCTGGCCAGCATGGACCTCCTTGGCCACGGGCAGGTAAGGGACACTCACCGAGGCCTCCATGGATTGCAGAGTCTGGAAGGCACCCTCGATCTCCTGGCTGAGGCCCAGCATCCGGGAGTAGCAGGTTGGGGGTGCGGGCTGGACGGCGCGGGGCTGGAGCAGGGGCAGCAGCAGGACAAGCAGCCAGGCTGTCATGGTGGAGGGTGGGGAGCCTCCGACCTGGCTGAGCTTTTAAGCTGCAGCCTGGGGGTGGTCCCACTGCCGCCACGCCCCCTGTTTCCTGTGGGGCCCAGCCAAGGTCTGGTTGTGGGGGAAGGGGCAGCAGAGCCTCTCCTCTCCTCTCCCCTCCCCTCCCCTCCCCTCCC